TTGTAAAGCTGTGGTGCTAAAATTATAAACAATTGTGGAAGGCAGAGGCAGAACTTCATGTGAAACCCCTGAAATAGCGAGTCCGAAAATAATACTGTCCCTCTTCCCCAAACGGATGACCCTGTTGCCTTCTCCACTTTATCTCAGTGAAACACTGTGGGACATATTCCTGCATTATAGACACTTCACAGAATCAGAGAGGAGGCCATTCTGTCCACTTTGCCTCCACAAGCTCTTTAATTGAGCATCATTGTCTAATGCCAATCTCCTGCCTTTACCCCATTTACTTGTAGACCATTCCTACCCAAATAACCATCCAGTAGCCTCTTGAATGCCTTCAATTGAATGAATTGAATTAATTGGACTACATTAAATTGAATTACAATTGAATTATTTTAATTTTATTTTATTAATTTTATTTTAATTACAATTAATTCAATTGAACTACATTTCGAGGCAGTGCATTCCAGAACCTAAGTGAAAAAAGTTGTTTCTCAGATCACTTTTCTTTCTTTTCCACATCACTTTAATAAAAATGTAAATAGATTTGTGGGTACTAAAGGGTATTAAGATGATTGGAATGCAGGAAGAGGAGGAACTGATGTAAAATATCAGTGGGGTCATTACTGATTGGCCAAGCAGTCTCAGACTCCTGCTCCCAGTCACAGAAAGGCTCTTCGGCCCATTGCATCAGTGCTGGTCAACAACAACCACCTAACTATTCAAATCCCATTTTTCAGTTCTTGGCTCATAGCCTTGGCATCGCTAGTGCACATAGAGTTATACAGCACGGAAACAGACCCCTTGGTCCAACTCATCCATGCTGACCAGATATGCTAAACCGATCTAGTCCCATTTGCCAGCATTTGGCCCTCTAAATAAAAACCAAAAGTACTGCAGATGCTGTCAATCAGGAACAAAAACAAAGTTGCTGGAAAAGCTCAAAACCCTTCTGAGGAAGGGTCACCAGACCCGAAACATTAACTCTGTTTTTTTATCCTTCACAGATGCTGCCAGACCTGCTGAGCTTTTCCAGCAACTTTGTTTTTGTTTTTGGCCCTCTAAACCCGAACTATCCGTGCACCCATCCAGATGCCTTTTAAATGTTGTAATTTTACCAGCCTCCACCACTTCCTCTGTCACCTCATTCCATACAAGCACTACCCTCTGGATGAAAAAGTTGTCCCTTAGATCACTTCTAAATCTTTCCCCTCTCACATTAAACCTATGCTCTCTAGTTTTGGACTTCCCTACCCTGGGAAAAAAAACCTTGACTATTCACCCTATCCATGTCCCTTAAGATTTTATAAACCTCTATAAGGTCACCCCTCAGCCTCGAACGCTCCAGCAAAACCAGCCCCAGCGTATTCAGCCTCTCCCTATGGCTCAAACCCTCCAATCCCCGGCAACATCCTCGTAAATCTTTTCTGAACCTTTTCAACTTCCACAACATCCTATAGCAGGGAGACCAGAATTGCAGACAGTACTTCAAAAGTGGCCTAACCAATGTCCTGTATAGCCGCAACATGACCCTCCCAACTCCGATACTCAATGCACTGACCAATAAAAGCAAGTGTACCAAATGTCTTCCTCACTACCCTTTCTACCTGTGACTCCACTTTCAAGGAAGTATAAACCAGCATCCCAAGTCATCACATCTAAACACATTTTAAATGTTATGAGGATTTCTGTCCCTACTTCCTTACAGGCAGTGAGTTCCAGATTCTCACCAGCCTCTTCTTTAAATCACATTGAATTGCAAATGTATAGTCCACATGAGATGGGGGGAAGCAATAAGGAGTTCATATTGTTACCAAACATATTGCCAGTGCCTGTTTAAACCCTCATCAGCTCCAGCATAGAATGGGACTATGTTTTGAGTACATTGTTTTTGTCCCTTTATGAAATATTTCTTTCTCAGTCAGTGTGGGATTAGCCCAAATGTTCCTTCTAGTCTAACCCCGAGTTCTCTGGGACAATGAGTAATATTGATGAACAGTGTTGACAGTCTCAATTTGAATCTTGACGCCAAGATTTCTTTTCTTTACTTTCTTGCTGCAATTGTACAGGGCCTTGGTGAGATCACATCTGGAATATTGTGTACAGTTTTGGTCTCCTTATGTGAGGATGAATGTTCTGGTTATGGAGGGAGTACAATGAAGATTTACCAGACTGAATCCTGCAATTGCAGGATTGACATATGAGGAGCGATTGGATCTGTTAGGACTATATTCACTGTTGTTTAGAAGAATGAGGGGCACCTCACAGAATCCTATAAAAATCTAACAGGACTAGACAGGGTAAACACAGGAAGGATGTTCCTGATGACCAGGGAGTTTAGTACTAGAGGTTATAGTCTAAGGGTATAGCCATTTAGGACTGAGATGAGGAGAAATGTCTTCACCCAGAGAGTGGGGAGCCTGTGGAATTATCTACCACAGAAAGTGGTTGAAGCCAAAACATTGAATGTTTATAAGAAGGTGTTAGTTCTTAAGGGATCAAAGGAAACGGGGAGAAAGCGGGAGTAAGGGACTGAGTTGGATGATCAGCCGTGATCATATTGAATGGTGGAGCAGGCTTAAAGGGCTGAATGGCCCACTCCCACTCAGCTCTAAGGAAGGGTCACCAAACCCGAAACATTAACTGATTTTTTTCTTCACAGATGTTGCCAGACCTGCTGAGCTTTTCCAGCAATTTCCGTTTTTGGGCATATTCCTGCTTCTATTTTCTATGGTTCCATAATTCTCCAAATTGGATACTGGTCATTTTTAGATCCTGACCTGACTTGGTCGTGTTTTGTTCAGGGTTTTAATTTCTGTGCGCTACAGAACTGCAGAATTTCTAATGGACCATAGGGATAGAATTATGGGGACAGCTTTCCACCTGTTTGCTAGGGAGTGGAGGGTGGTTTGGAGGCAGGGGGCCATTGGAGATGGGAAAATCCGTGTTCCTGAAATAACCAGTGTACCTGCTGATGACTTCCTTTTGTCCCTCACTATCTGCCCCACACAATGTGACCACTGTCGTGCCCCAGGCTAGGGAGCAGGGACCTCAAAACTCTCCCTCCCTTGTTCATCTCCTCTCTCCTCAATGGAGGAAGGACAAACTTTCCACAGATGCCCCAGCTAATAAAACTCAGTTGATTAAGAATTTAAACATGGAGTTAGGAGCACTAAAAGGGGCAATGAAATGACCTGGGCGAATAGGATTAGGGAAAATCTCAAGGTGTTTTGTACAAATAGAAGGAGGAAGGGGGAAAGGGTAGGTCCACTTATGGACAGAGGATGGAATGTACGCATGGAGCTGGAGGAAGTGAGTGAGGTCCTCAACAAATACTTTGCAACAGTATTCGAAGGAAAAGGACATGGTGGATGGTAGCTCTCAGGAGGGCTTTGTTGGTATTCTAGGGCATGTTGTGATAAAGAGGAAGAAGATACTGCATATGTTGAAAAGCATCATGGTAGACAGGCCCCCAGGACCTGATGCGATCTATCCCAGAAAGCTGAGAGAGGCGAGGGAGGAAATTGTTGGGCCCTTGTACAAAATCTTTGTATCCTCTTTAATCACAGGAAAAGTCCCGCAGGATTGTGGAATAGCCAGTGTTGTTCTTTTGTTTAAGGGCAACAGGAATAATCTGGGAAGTTACAGCCTAGTGGGCCTTAGGTCAGTGATAGGGAAATTATTGGGGATAGGATTTCCTCGCAGTTGGAAAAATATGGGCTTATTGGCAGCATGGCTTTATGCAGGGGAGGATGTGTCTCACAAACTTGATTGAGTTTTTTGAGGAAGCAACAATGATTATTGATGAGATCGGGTGGTGTTTGTTAGATATATGGTGAAGGCCTTTGACAAGGTCCCTCATGGTAGGCTGATACAGAAGGTGAAGTCACACGGGATCCGCAGTGAGCTGATAAAGATGGATACAGAACTGGCTTGGTCATAGAAAACAGGGAGTAGCGGTGGAAGGGTGGTCTTCCGACTGGAGATCTGTGACAGTGGTATTTTACAGGGATCAGTGCTGGGACCACTGTTGTTTGTAATTTATAGAAACGATTTGGCAGAGAACGTATGTTGTCTGATTAATACATTTGCAGGTGACACAAAGATTGGGGGATCTGCAGATAGGGAGGAGGATTGCCAGAGGATAGAGCAGGATATAGACAGGCTGGAGACTTGGGTGGAGAAATGGCAGATAGAGTTTAATCTGGACAAATGTGAGGTGATATGTTTTGGGAGATCTATTGCAGGAGGGAAGTACACAGTAATGACAGTATATTAGAAACATCAACATGCAGAGGGATCTAGGTGTACAGGTCCACAGTTTCCTGAAAGTGGCAACACAAGTGGATAAGGTGGTCAAGAAGGCATATGGCATGCTTGCCTTCATCAGAAGGGGCATAAAGAATAAACATTGGCAAGTCACATTGCAGCTTTAATTAGGCCACATTTGGAATATCGTGTACAGTTCTGCTGCCACACTACCAGAAGGATGTGGAAGCTTTGGAGAGGGTGCAGATATTTCCAAGATGTTGCTTATTTTGGGGCCAACCTGATAGAGGTGTACAAAATTGGAGCATTTTTCCCAAGGTAGAAATGACAATTACTAAGGGACAGAGGTCTAAGGTAAAAAGGGGAACGTTTAAAGGAGATGCGCGAGGCAAGTTTTTCTTTACACAGAGGGTAGTAAGTGCCTGGAATACGCTGCCAGAGGAGGAGTTGGAGCTGGATACAATAGCAATGTTTAAGGGGCATCTTAATATATGAATTGGCAGGGAAGAGAGGGATATGGACTGTATAGAGGCAAACAATTTTTATTTCAGAAAGGTGTCATAATTTTGCACAGTCTTGGTGAACTGAAGGGCCTGTTCCTATGCTATACTGTTCTTTGCTGTTTAAATCTACAACTCAGAAGTGAGAGAGTGATTCACTGTCCCAGAGCTGTCTTATTGGGAGTTCCTGAAAACAGGCTGAACACTCAACTCAGTTACTACAGCACCTACCTGGTGAGAGAATGGTGATGGCTGTTAAAAGACTAAATTCTTCCTGGGTCATCTTCAGCTCCCCGATACTGCGGTAGAAGTTAAACATGGGGGTGATATACTCCTCAGCTATGCCTGTTCAAAATAAAAATTACGCTTGATTACAATCCATCACAACCACTTAATTAGATAACAAAACATGTCACTTTAATGAATAAATACAGCAAAGAACTGCGGATGCTGGAAATCAGAAACAGAAACAGAAGTTGCTGGGAAAGCACAGCAGGTCTGGCAGCATCTGTGGAGAGAAACCAGAGTTAACGTTTCAGGTTGAGTGGCCCTTCCTCAGAACCTCATATAACATGATAACGGGCCTCAGGGCAGATGAGTGACTGTACTAAAAGCAATCCATTTCATGACAGGACTGCATGCGGGATGAGTTAAAAGTATTGGAGGACAGAATCAAGCTCAATGTTGAGTCCTAGAGGCTGCAGGGTTTCCAAGTGGAATGTGATGGAATACTGCCCACTTGCCTGGATGGGTGCAGCTCCAACAACACTCAAGTAGCTTGACACCATCCAGGACAAAGCAGCCCTCTTGATTGGCACTACATCCACAAGCATCCACTCCCTCCACCACCGACGCTCAGAAGCAGCAGTGTGTACTATCTACAAGATGCACTGCAGAAATTCACCAAAGATCCTCAGACAGCACCTTCCAAATCCGTGATCACTTCCATCTAGAAGGACAAGGGCAGCAGATACATGGGAACACCACTCCCTGCAAGTTCCCCTCCAAGCCACTCACCATCCTGACTTGGAAATATATCGCCGTAATGTCACTGTCAGGGGTCAAAATCCTGGAATTCTCTCCCTAAGGGCATTGAAGATCTACCTCCAGCATGTGCACTGCAATGGTTAAAGAAGGCAGCTCACCCCCATCCAGATCCCACAAAATAAATAATAAAAAAAGATGAGATTTTGTCCTTTGAGCTTGTGTTGAGTTTTGCTGGAGCACGGCAGCAAACCTCAGACATATGTTGCCGTGGGAACATGGCGATTTGTTGAAGTGGCAGGCAACTGGAAGCTCAGGGTCAGTTTTGCAGATAAACACTTTATGTCAATTTAAAGTATTTTAATGATTTAGACATCATTTATAGACCTCACATCAAGTCCCATTTGTCACTGATCAAGTTGGCCTCTCTCTTTTAAAAATCTCCTTTTTCATTTTGAAATCTCTCCATTGTCTCAAGTCCTCCATCTCTCTGTGTAATCTCCTCCAGCCCCACGACCCCGTGACATCTCTATACTTTCCCAATTCTTATTTTTGACTCTCCCCGAATTTTAATCGCTCCATGATTAGTGGGCATGCTTTCAGCTACCTGGCCTCCAAACTTTGTAATCCTTTCCTGAACCCCCACCCCACCCCTCTCTTTCTCTCTGTCTCTCTCTCTCCCCCTATCTCTCCCTGAATCTCTTTCTCTCTCTCTCTCCCCTGAATCTCTCTCTCTCTCTCTGCCCTGAATCTCTCCCTCTCTCCTCCTTGTCTAGATGCTAATTAAAACAAGGTCCCCCGCCCTAATATTTTCTTCTGGGCCTCGGTATTAAACTGTAACACTCCAGTGGAACACTTTGGGATGTTGTGTGTCATAATCAATCCTGACTTGGAATTGTATTGGCCTTCTTTAAGGCCATATATACAGGAGGAAAAGTAGGCCATTCAGCCCATTAAGTCTGCTCTGCAATTCAATGAGATCATGGCTGATCTGATAATCCTCAACTCCACTTTCCTGCCTTTTCCCCATGACCCTTCGTTCCCTACCTGATTAAAATTCTGTCGGTCTCAGCCTTGAATCTACTTAATGGCCCAGCCTTGGCAGTCCTCTGCAGTAAAGACAGATTCGCTTCCCTCTGCGAGAAGAAATTCCTCCTCATCTCTCATACCCTCATCTTAAATGTGTGACCCCTGATTCTGAGATTATGCCCTCTGGTCCTAGGCTCTTCCAGAAGGGAAAACAACATTTTTGCATCTGTCCTGTCAAGTCCCCAAGTGAGGATGTTTCTATAAGGCCGCCTCTCATTCTTCTAAACTCCAATGAGTACAGGCCCAAGCTACTCAACCTCTCCTTATACCACAATCCCTCCAAACCCAGAGTCACAGTGAACTTTCTCCTGCAACAACAGTATACGCTCCCTTAGATAATTCACAGCGGTTGCGAGAGCAACACTGTGGATCTACCTACACCACACGGTCTGCGGAAATCCAAAATGGCAGCTCACCACCACCTTCTCCATGGTGATTATCGGTGGCAACAAATGCTGAACCAGCCATTGGCGCCTGCATCCCACGAACAATAAATCAATAAATAAAGGCGAGTTGCTGTTTAAGACTGACAGGAAGTATAATGTGCATCAGGTCAAATCCATTCCCCTGAACTGCAGGACCACTCAATGGTCCCCCATCGGTTGGAAGACAACAGTTTTCGGTGGCACGTTGTCTAATCCTACACCCCTGTTTTCTCCTCATATCACGTTATACACCAGCATTTGTCTCTTCAAATCCTTCACCACAGTCTAGTGACTTTCAAAAGGATTGATGAACTTAGCCACCATGATAGTTTGCGCCAAAGAGCTTACAAATGGCTTCCAATTTCATGTTAGAATCTGGCACAGGAGAACTGTGAGGCATGAATATTACATCAGTTGGCCAAATATGAAGCTGAGCACTTTTCTTGACAATGGGCTTATTAATCAAATTCAGTATCATGTTTGTCTGCTTCCTACTTTCTTTGAGCTATAGGGAGAGGCCGAATAGACTGGGGCAATTTTCCCCGGAGTGTTGGAGGCTGAGGGGTGACCTTATAGAGGTTTATAAAATCATGACAGGCATGGATAGGGTAAATATGCGAGGTCTTTTCACCAGGGTGGGGAAGTCCAACACCAGAGGGAGATGGTTTAAGGTGAGAGGGGCAAGATTTAAAAGGCACTTAAGGGGCAACATTTTCATGCAGAGGGTGGTGCATGTATGGAATGAACTGCCAGAGGAAGTGATGGAGGCTGGTACAATTACAACATTTAAAAGGCATCTTGGATGGGTATATGAATAGGAAGGTTTTAGAGGGATGTGGGCCCACTACGAACAAATGGGACTAGGCTAATTTAGGATATCTGGTCAGCATGGACAAGTTGGACCGAAGGGTTTATTTCCATGCTGTACGACTCTATGACTCTGGCTCACCATCAACAGGGTGTCTGGGAGGAATAAGTGAGCTTGGGTCTATGGATCCTAAAGCCCTTGAACACCAGGGCCATTCCTGGCCTCATGCTTGTCTGGATACTGTAGACTCATTGATAGTGATTAATAATTGTTATTGTTGAATTACTGCATGTGTGAGATAGATTGTGTTCTTCTTAAATCCAAGAATTCCTCATTGTAACCTCTTCCCCTCGCTAACAACCTGCCAGAAGGTTAGGCAATGACCTAGTGTTATTAGCACTGGACTATTAATCCAGAGACCCGGGTAATATTCTGGGGACCTGGGTTCGAATCCCGCCACAGCAGATGGTGGAATTTGAATTCAACAATATCTGGAATTAAGAGTCTAATGATGATCATGAAACCATTGCCGATTGTCGGAAAAACCCATCTGGTTCACTAATGTCCTTTAGGGAAGGAAACTGCCATCCTTGCCTGGTCTGGCCTATATGTGACTCCAGACCCACAGCAATATGGTTGAGTCTTAACTGCCCTCTGGGCAATTAGGGATGGGCAATAAATGCTGCCTGGCCAGCGACGCCCTCATTCTGCCAATGAATAATTTAAAAAATTGATTAGCTGTGGTAACCATAATGTCCTGTCTGTGTCCCACACCAAATACCTTCATAAACATTAAAGATAAACATTCACAGCCTTTCTGAATTTGTGTATTGAGATCACAGGGCCAAGAAATGTCTTTATAAAAACCAAAAGAACTGTGGATGCTGGAAATCAGAAACAAAAACAGAAATTGCTTGAGAAGCTCATCAGGTCTGGTTGCATCTGTGGAGAGAAATCAGATTTAACCTGTCCCAAAACATTAACTCTGTTTTCTCTGCACAGATGCTGCCAGACCTGCTCAGCTTTTCCAGAAACTTCTGTTTTTGTTTGTGTGTGCAAGAAATGTCTTTTCCTCATTTCCTGATTCGCTAATCAGAAATGAATGACACAGATCTGAAACAAAGCTAACGATCTTAAATTTATGACACCACGAGTAAATCCAATGGGGACTCAGGGGAAACTTTGTTAACCAGCGAGTGTTGAGAATGTGGAACTTACTGTCATAGGGATTGGTTGAAGTGAAGCAAGAGCAAAAACTACTGATCAGGGGATTTGAAGAAGTTGGAAGTTGGGGTCCAAATTTGCAAATTATTTACTGTGTAGCATGAGTTTTCATTTAGCATCTATTACACCAGGAACTACTTTTCCAAAAATTCTAGCACAGAGAAACAAAAGAGAAGACCTACAAGAAACACAGAGGTCTGGATGCACAATCAGCTAGTGCCAACAATTAATCTGGTGCCAAATGTACCCTATTATCATTGTGTTGCTTTTGAAGAAAAGATTATGTTCTCAAAGGAATGAAAACTAACCTTCAGACAGAGGTGGGAAAAAGGACAATGCTCATTCAACATCATGAAGAGAGATTGAGCACTTTAGGCCTGTACTCTCTTGGAGTTTAGAAGAATGAGAGGAGATCTAATTGAGATATGGAAGATGTTAAAGGGATTTGACAAAAGTAGACGCAGAAAGGATGTTTCCTCATGTGGGAAAATAGAGAACAAGAGGTAATAGCTTCAGAATAAAAGGGTGACAGATTTAAAACAGAGATGAAGAGAAATTACTTTTCTCAAAGGGTCACCAGTCTGGAAGTCTCTCCCCTGAGGTTATGGTGGATGCTGGGACATGGAGTAACGTGAAGGAGGAGATAGACTTTTAATAGTAACGGTCCAAAGGGTTACAGACAGCAGGTAGAAACATGGAGTTAACGCTGAAATGAGATCATAATGATCATATCAAATGGTGGAACAGGCTCGAGAGGCTGAATGGCCTACTCCTGCTCCTAGTTCTTATCAGAAACACGTCCCATGGCCATTGGC